GATGGGGTGGGGAACATGGAACCTCCCATTTCCCTGGGGCCACCCTGTTAAAATTGGGAAACCATGCAGCATTTGTCCTTTTGTGACTGGCTTATGTTGCTTAACATGATGACGTCCAGACTCAACCATGCTAAAATAAATCGTTGGTAGAACTGTTCTCTCTATAGCTGAAAGAGGGTTTTGAATAGAATTATAGGAGCTAGAAGCAACTCTAGAATCTACCTCCACTTTGACTTTTTCTGGACAAGAAATCCAGAGATGGTAGAGTAACTTGACTAAGCTTAAAGGTTAAATAATGGAAAAATTGAATGGCTATATATATATATATATATATATATATATATATATATATACACATATATATGTGTGTGATAAATATGTGTGTGATAAATGACTAGTCCTTTCACAATTTTTACAAAGTTTACAACAATTTTTATACCTCCATTTTTGATTTATTGTTAGCTGTTTTAGAATAATTTTGTAATTTTGTCTTTTGAATGTTCCATTCAGATTTAAAGTAAAAATCACCTATTCTGATTATTTCTCTTTGTTAGGAATTGCAAATCAACTTTGTTTGTAAAATCGATGCTGTAGTTGTTCAGAATTTCCATTCTGGGCAGGAGGATACTGTTTGTGGGATAAAAAGATTCTTTAGTTTTATGGGAGAATTTGAATCCTAAATCACACAGACCTAACAGGGCTGATCACTGGCAATGGACCAGAGCTCTTTTAGTTCGGTTGCTTACCCTTATGTCACCATCTCTCCTCCCCTTCTCAAAGAGAAAGATCTCACAAGTTATAGTTTATGAAATAATAACCAGAAAACCTCTTTGTTCTTAGTGCCCAAACTAATTAATGACAAGGAATTATGTATGATGAGTTCACTATGTGCCCTGTTATTAAGAGACAAATATTTCCCCAGTGGGTGGAAAAAACAATCAGTGATTTTTAGAGCTGAGGGTAAGGATGCTTAACCATCATTGTGTAATAGTGTGGTTCTCTTAGAAAGGGGAGGTTCCAGGTTCCCTGGCCCACCTAAAGAAGGGTGGAGCTGAGCAGGGAGGGGAAGCTAAAAAGGACTTGGGAGAGAAAGCTGGAGGAGGGGAGTAGACTTTGAGGAGGCACATGCAGGAGAGACTTGAGATAAAAAGTTACACGTGCTTCTCCGTCTTGGAGTTAAACCAAGGACTTGGGGGACATGGAAGGAGACACTTGGAAGAGATGTGGGTGAGAGACCCTCGGGAAGCTGACAATGGCAGTCTTCATCTTGATTTGTATTTTGATTTGGCTTTTTTTTCCTCCCAGACTAGCCTGGCCCTTCTGCTCTTTTTCCGTGGTTCTCCACCTCAGGCTTGCAGCAAACTTTGGGCCTCAGTGCCCTGGTTTGTGCCAACCCCATTTGGCTGGGCATTCACCCATGAGGGGATGGGTAGCTGAGTGCCTCATTTGGAAACTATATTCTTTCTCTTCTCTCTATTGTATACTGATTTGCATCAAAATTCTTTACTTTGAGCATCTTATACACAGAAAGTGTATTTTGTCTTTATGCAGTGGATGGCAGAACCCACCTAGAGCATGCATGGTTTGGGAGCCCTAGGGTGCTCCTCAGTCTGCTTGCTAACAATTGTAGTCCAATTCCCTAATTTTAAAATGGTTAATAATGTGTTAGAACTTGATATGCCTGCTTTGGCTTTCAGCCAGGGCTCTGCCAGGGCTCCAACAAACAGCACATGTATCTAGGAGGGTGGCAGTACCTCCCGGATGTGTGTGGGGCTTGGTTTGAAGAGACACAAAGAGTCTCACTCAGCTTGCTTTTTTTTTTTTTTTTTCATTAATACTGTATTTTTTCCCCTAATTTACTTGTCAACATGATTTCCAATCTGGTATTAATACTTGCACTGGTTTTGAATCATGAGGGGAAGACTAGAGATTTCCAGCCCACAGTGATTTAGAATAGCTTGACAGCAGCTCCCACAAGTGAGGAAATATTTTCTTCCCTCTAAGTCTTAGGAAAGGAAGGAAGGAAATTCCAAATCTCAGCTGAGACTGGGCCAGTGATACATAATGTATGTACTTTGGTTTGTGTGAGTGAATGATACAACCTGCTTCTAGAAGGATCTGGGTCTGTCAGTGTTGTTTACAACTGGAGCTATTTCTTTTCTAAGTGTGAGCATGCAGTATATTCTCACAGTCTCTCCAACTCAAACGTGACACTTTATATGTTAGGAATGAAAGGAGAACAGATGCCCCAATGTTTCTCTGTGATTTGCCCAGAGAGTTCTCTAAAACACTGTGAAAGTAACTTTGGGAATTTTTATTCAATGAAGATGGCTTGCACTTCATATTACTTTATGACTTTATAATTTATAATACTGATATGAAATATAGTGGCTATACTATTACAAATAAATGACTTTCCCCCAAATTTCACTATTAGTAATTGGCAGAAGCTGAATGAGACCTGAAGATTCTTGATTCTCACTTCATTTCTCTTCCTCTCTTAAAAAATATGTTTTTCCCCTCAAACATGCCTTTTTATCTGATTATATAAACATTTTTCTAGGTCCTACCTTTCAAAGAACACTCTTGTAAGCTTGTATTATTCCTTGGCCTTGTTCTACTTTTGACTTTTCTGGCAAACGCTTTTTGAAGAGGAGCTTGCTTTTCCTACTCTGTCTTTCACTGCTCAACCCACTGCCTTCACTGTGCCATCCCTTGAAGTTACTCTCACTAAGGTTTCCGTGACAGCCATGTTGTCAAGGAAATGTTCATTCTCTAATCCTTGGTTTACTGGGCTTCGTGGAACATTGAACTCTGCTAATCATCGATTCTGTCCTAAGCCTGAACCCGGTCTTGGTTTTATTCTATAACATCACATTCTTCTCTCTGCTCTGGCTGCTGCTTTGCAGATTCCTTGGTAGATCATTTTTCTCACTCCTTTCATGCCAGTATTGCCTAGCTGAGAGTCTCATTTGCATGTTCTTAGAAGCACTTTCATTTGCATCCAAAGCTTCAGTATTACTTACCTCCGTGGTGATGAATTTCAAATCTCCACGTCCAGGTTTCCTTCCTTCCTTTCCTAAGTCTTAGAGGGAGGGAAACATTTCCTCAGTTTTGGGAGCTGCTGTCAAGCTATTCTAAATCACTGTGGGCTAGAAATCTCTAGTCTTCTCAGTGCAGGATGTCTTTTAGTTTTCTGAGATGGACACACTGAGATATAGGAGATCTAGCAGGTGGAGCAAGTTTTGAAAGTGGTAAATTTGAGGGGAAGCTTGGAGTAAACACATGGGTCTGATGTTTAAGAAAAAGAGGTCTGAGCTGGACAAAAACCTGCCTGCTCAAAATAGTTTCTGCCACCTGCCATATCAAGATAAAACATATAAGACCTTTAATGGAAAGGAATTTTAACACAATTAGTGTGCACGACAGAAAATACAGTTTTTAAATCAAGAACCCAAAGTTACCCATCCCCTCATAGGTAAATGTCCAGCCAAACAGGATTGGCCCAAAACAAGGCCCGAAAGCCTGCCACAAGCCTAAAGCATCTTTCCCCACAGAAAAGGATCAGAAGCAGTCAAACAAGTCTGGAAGGAAAAGAGCAAAATCAAAGCCAAGATAAAAGTTGCCATCTCTAAGCTCCACACGGGTCTCTTACCCACACATGTTTCACCCAGTTCAGGACCAAGAAGCCAGTATAGTTTCTTCACATGTTTCTGTTCCTGCACCTTCTTCAGGTCACCTTCTGCCTCCCCATCCTGCTTCCTTCCTTCTCTAGTCTTCTCCTAAGCTTCCTCTCCTCCCTGCTCAGCTCCACCCTCCTTTGGGTGAGACAGGGAACCTGGAACCTCTCCTTTTTCTGGGGACCGCTCTGTTACGAAGTGACATATGAGGAAATCAGGGCAAAGAGATGGGAGGTAACTTGTCAAAAGGTACCAGTGAGGAAGCAGCAGCCAGATTCGAATGCACATCTCTGGGGTCCACTTGTGACCACTAGGCTTCTCAGCCCCTCTCCTCATGCTGCCTGTCACAATTGCATCTGCTGACTTCTGCTTGTGATTGTCCACTTAGTGTCTGGCAAGTAGGACCCCTTACCTGCTCCTTGGTGACGAGATGAGGGTTTATGTTGCTCTCCACTACCCCTAATTTAGTTTTACCTGCTAGATACAGTGTTCAAGTTATATAATCTCTTGGTTGGCACAATACGACTTTTTAAAAATATCTCTACTTTTTTATTGAAAAAATAATATATACACAATGGAAGATGTTCAGACTGAAAAAGGCATTCAAAGGAAAATAAACCCCTAACTCCAGATTCTCCCTAGGCCAATTACTAGCACTTCTCAAGGTTGATTTCATGAAATACTGTGTGTGACAAGGTCATATCTTCAGCTCATATTACAACTTACTCGTACTGATCAAGTGTACGCTCTTTATTTATGCCTATAAGTCATCTAGGTGTCCTTTTCCTCCTGTCTCCCTCATCTCTACACCATCCCCATGTACACACTAATAGCAAAAAGCTAACCCATTGTCCAATCTTGTTTAAGCCTTAGTCCCCTAATAATTTAGGCTGTCCCTTCAGGAGAATATTCAGCCTGTCTTGGATGAAAAAGGTCAGTCTCCCAAAGAGCCTCTCCTTTGCTCTGTTCCCTTCAGTAAGAGAGAGGGAAGGGGTGACCTTTACCAAAACTCTGAGGTCCATTTGATGTGTGTCTGCTGTTCTCTGGCACCTCTGGCTTCTGGGAAATGAACTCTGATCCACCTGGCAGGGGATACCCTACAGGCCTTGGGAGGGTCAAGGATCTTTGGTTTGGGTGATGCCCTGGGTGGTTCTGGTTGACCTGACTTCAGTCCAGCTTGTGATGTCTCCTGCTGCCCTTCCAGGTTTGGCTGACATGCTGGTTCAGCCCTGCTCGGATAGTCTTTCTGCAGACTTCCCACAGCATTCGTTTGCCCTTGCTGAGTTAGCTGCTTCTGGTTAGCTTCCAGCCAGGTTCTCAGTTACTCCTGGGGCCTTTCAGGATGTGAGATCCAAGCAGCTCAAGAATGCTCAACCAGGTTCAACCTTCCACCTGATCACCAAGCTCAACTAAGTTTCTCCGGCACAGATTGGAATGGACACCCCATGCAAGGGCACCCTCCCAGGGTCTAGAAAGAGCAGTTGTTGAGGGTATGTGTGTGTGTGTGTGTTGGGGGGGGTGTTTCTTGTTTTGCCTTCTCTGTGATCTGTACTTGCTTTGTCCCCCCCAGGAGATGTCACATATTTAAAGACAAGCAAAGTGTGGTCTGACTGTCACTGACAGATGTGCTGGCTACTTTACTGTATAAGAGAACCCAAGGAGTGTGCGTTCCCTGGGCTTCCATGCAATAGAGTCAAGGGGCTGATAAAGGAGTTTGGATAATTCTTTTCTCAAGTAAAATTCTACTTTCATGCATCAGTGACTGAATATTAATTCAGCCTTTTTAAAGACATTCCTTCTACAGTATAGAAGTTAGAATGATTCTGGCCATAAGTAATAATATCCAACTAAATGTGATTAAACAATAAAGTCATGTGATAATCTTATAAGACAACAATTCTGGGAGGTTGGGGCTCTAGAGTGGGTTTGGCAACTCCATAAAGCCACCAGAGACCCAGAACCTTCTGCTCCCAGACCCTTAGCATGGTCACATCTCATCTTTAGCTTATTATCTCTAGATTCACCAGATAGCCACAGGGGCAGTAAGCAGCCCTCCATCAGACAGCCTCATTCAAAGATGGGAGAAAGAGGGGGCTGTGGGGAGGGGCTCTCAGGGTGGAGAGACATCTCCTTACATTTTACTCCTTTTTATCAGGATGAAAAACTTCCCATGAACCAGCCTACCTCATTTCTCTGTGTTACACATTAATCTATAATCATGTCACATGGTTACTCAAGCTGTTAGGGAGTCTGGAAAACAAAGCATCAGAGATTTCCACACCCCTAGTGAGGGAAGGAGAATTGAGTAGCATGAAAGAAGGGTGGGGTGGGGGTAGTGAATGGTTGTTGATCAAGTAAACAGCAACTGCCATATAAAACAAATCCCAAGCTTTCACTTAATTATATAGATGACTTCTGTCCTCTAGGTTTGTACTTAGAAAGACAAAAAAGACAAGAGTCCACTAATAATTTAAAGTAGTATCCCCTTTATATAACAACACAAACAAATGGATATGTGCAAAGTACATTTGCCCCCTCCTTCTCTGATGGTATAAATTCCAAGACCCCTGTGGATGCCTGAAACTGTGGACAGTACCCAGGTCAACAGATACTATGTTTTCCTCTGTACATACATAAATAACTATGACCAAGTTTATAAATTAGGCACAGTGAGAGATTAGCAACAATAATAAAATAGAACAATGATAACATTACACTGTAATAAAAGTTATATGAAAGTGGTCTTGCTCTCTCAAAGTACACTTTTTTAAAATTTAGACGTGAACTACTGAGAGATTTATTAATTTAAATTTGTATTGCAAGGGCCTTCCTGGTGGCGCAGGCAGTTGAGTGCAGTACTGTGAAGCTGTCCACAACCTCTGCAGTGCCAGTTTGAACCCTGCTGGCCTCAGAGATACCCACATGGCACAGCAGACCTCTCCTGTCTCGCCGGCTGCGCCCCTCGGCAGTGTATTTCAGTTAGTCTGCCTGTTCTGTTTGCTTCTCTCTCTGGTGAATCCCATCACCCTCCCGCACATTTGGCCTACACCCCGGTTTTTGTATGCAAAAATAAACAAATCTTTGAAAAAAAAATAAACTTGATCATTTAAAAAAAAATGCCAACTTTATCATATTCTAAATTCCACATCATGTATTGCACACACATACCCATCATAGACACATACATTAATGAATCATATTATTAATATAATATTTTAATACATTGGGCCTTTTCTTTTAAGGATCACTCATAATGCAAACCAAACACCACAACCAAAACCTTCTCCAACTCTACCTAGAAGAGAGCTCTTGTTTTCATTAAAAGATCCAAACAAAGGGAAATTAATCAAGGTAAAGCAAGGAAGCAAAAAAAATTTAATTAAAATAAAAAGCAATTATAACTCAAAACAGGATAACAGACACTAGATCTCTGGCTCAGTGTCCTCTTCTCATCCTGAGATAAGAAATGATAGCTTTTGTTACATTCTTATAGATTCTGGAGTGAGGAAATGTTCAGCCCCACCTTCACTGGAACTGAAATCAACTGGAATTGACGTCAAATTGGCAAATTTGTCTCAATCTGATTTTCTCATCCATTTTCAAATAAGTATTTGATCAAGGTAGATATTCCACTTTTGTTTTTATCTGTTTCTGTATTTGTTTGCCTTTTCTTTTAAGGGAAGTATAAAATCAGTCATTGTTTACAGTATCCATTAAAGTGGAAGTGGTGTTGGGCAGAGCCATGATAGAAATAAATACTCTTCAACCTGTACTTCTATTGAAGTGATGGAGAGTTCTGCACTTTGGTGTGTCTTATTGTAATGCTGAAGATTGTGAAGCTGCATCCTCGAAATGCATTTTTTTCTTCTCTCTATTCCAAGTTATCTAGGAAATACAATAGAAAAATGCACATATAAGTTCAAACCACATATCCTAGAAATAGAATCATTTTAAAAATCCTACAGTACCTTGTAATTTGGGGGATTATAGATTTCCAGAACTTAGAAATACAACTACTGGATTTACAATGACAAAGTCAATATTTCCTTTGACAGAAAGACTGACAACTTAAAAGAAAACATCATTAGGAAAGGCAAACAAATACAGGAATTTTGAACAACCATCGAAAGCAGGTAAGAAGAATTTACTTTTTTAAATAAATATTATAAATAATGGAATTTGTATTGGTTTCACTTTTCCACAGTGCATATAAATGGATCCTTTTTTTCATTTCTCCCCTATAAAATGAGAGATAAAATTTGCTTTTACTGAGGTTCATGAAAGAATATTATATGAACTATTATTTTAAATATTTCTGAGATTAGTTGATCTTAGGTGAGAGATTTTATATATTTCCTATCAAGTAAAAAATGACCAATGATAATTTCCTGGATTTGCAATGATAATATTTTAAATTATTTTCAAGTGCAAATATTATTGCATTTTATCTTCTCTATATTCATGCATCTTGTCATCAAATATTTCACACCTCTGAGTCTTATATCATGATGCTTTTATTCCTGCCCAGTGACCATGAAAATCTCCAAGCCACCAGGTGGCAGAGTGTCCTTAGATTGAATATTGCATTTTCCACTGATTGTTAAATGCAGTTTATAGCTAATGTGAGTGGCCTTCAAACCTTTAACTCATATACCCCTAAGATAATTTTGAGAACATATGTAGCTCCCAAAGTATTTACATTTATGTATAAAATTATTCAGCAAAAGTAAATACCAAAGAGCTATAATTGTTATCATACAGTAAATACTGAAATTTTAAAATAAAATTATTATTTCACTCTTTGAAGTGTCTCTAAGTGGATACAAAATACCTTAGGGATTTGATACCCACCATCTGCTATTTTCAAAAATTCCCAAACAAGCATACCTTTTATAATTGGATATTTTACATCACTCCTTTGTCACCTTGACATCTTTATTCCATTTTATTCCCACTGCAGAATTTTATACTAACATGAAATGTTTTAAGCTTAAAAGTTTTGATCACCCTATCACTTTCTTCAATAATAAAATTACTCAAAAATAAATGAAATAAGTATTTGTGTTTCCTATGACCATAAGGTCAATTTTTATGTTTTCAACTTCAATGATATATTGTATATATATGTAAATTTGCCCAGTATATGTTTATTCTTTCATTACTTTGAAAAATAATTCTAAAAATAAAAATGACTTTTAATTGTACCACTCCAAATTTATTGAGGCTAATGCAACCTCTGTCTTGCTTAACTCTTCCCATTTAGCTTAGATAACTTCTGTTAACTAACTGATACCCATTCTTTTACTTTTTTCTAAGTTTATAAAGGTCTATTTCTACCCTTCAAATTTATAGCACAAAATATTAACATAGTTGATTTATCTTTAAAGATTTATTTATTTATGCACACAAGAGCTGGGGTGCAGGACAGAGATGGGCCGGGGAGTGGTGGTGAGGGGATTCACCAGAGACAGAGTAGGGAGCAGAATAGGCAGATCTACTGAAATACACTGCTGAGGGGAGCAGCAGGCAAGACAGGAGAGGTCTGCTGCACCATGTGGGTCACCTCCCTGGCCAGGGATACAGCTCGTGCTGCAGTGGCTGCAGATAGCTTCATAGTGCTGTCTTACCCTCTTTCATCACCAGGGAGGCCCAATATTAATGTATTTGTAAAATTGCATATTTATAAAATAACGTATTTTTAAAGAGATTTTTTCTCAGTATCCAAAGCACAGTATACCGTTGGATGTATACACACACACACACTCCTTATGGGTATAAGTGTTAGGTTGGATGATAGGCATCTGTTTACTTTATAAGAAGCTGCCAAATTGTTTTGCCAAAATGGTTTATATTCCCTCCATCAGTAGATATGAGAATCAAATTATGCAAATGATCTAACACTGGTATTGCCAGTCTTTCTAATTTCAGTAATTTTAATGTGGATAGTTATTACTCACTGTGGCTTTAATTTGCATTTTCTTTTTTTATTATTATTTTTAATTTGCACTTTCTTGATGATTTACGATGTTGAACATCTTTTCATGAGTTTACTGACCATTTTACATTTTTTGTGAGTGTGATTAAAACTTTTTGCCCATGTTTAACTGGGCAAAATTTGTAAGAGTTCTTTATATATTTTGGATATACATCTTTTTCAGACATTTATGTTTGTGGCCTGCCTCTTAATTTCTTAATGATATTTTTTGAATAATAGAAGTTTGGATGAAAAGCTTTATGGCTAATTTGCTGCCATACAAAACTTCTACAGATTTCATCCAACTTGTACCTGATGAATTTCGGGATAGTATCCACTTACAAGTCTTTTTCTAAAATGAAATAATGTGGTAATAGTAACATTACATACCATTTCATATGTCATCGTTGAAAAAATTCTTCATTGGTGGGAAGATGGATGCTTTTTGAGGATTAGGTATTAATTCTACCTCCTAATCTATTTTTCTTGAAGTAGCAGACACACAAAAAAATTAGCAGTAATTCAGGAAATTAGCAGTAAAAATACTGGTACATCCTTTTGACGACTGAGATAACTAATCATGGTAGCTGTGCAGTAGATATTTTTGTGGTTATTATTCAGATATTCAGATGAGGAATGTGAGGTTGAAGTAAATTAAAAGTCTTGATCAAGGTCACACAGCTGGTAAATAGCTGACCAGAAATTTCACACCAGGTCTTCTCCAACCCTCATGTTATTTATTAATGCTCTGTGTATGTTCTGGACACATCTGATTTTAGGCATAATGAATGTAGGTTTTGGCAGGTTGTGGAGCAAACAGAGATTGGAGGGAATGCTTGGGAGAAACAGATTAGGTCTGGACTTACTTTGGCAGGGGCTGCTCATGTTTCCAATTCCTAATCCTGTAGCTAAACTGGTAACTGTATAGAAGGTTCAGGGTAGTTAAGACAAGTTAGACCATCATAAATTCAAATGTGGAAGCAGAACTGCCTCAGATAATCTGATCAGTTAGCAGGCCATTCAATTTACTACATACCTCTGCCATCATTTCACAATCTCCTCCTTTTGTTAAAGAATATTAGAGATTGACATCCTCAAACCTTAAACAGAAGGTTTGTTCTGCAATTTAACTTGCAATCAATACTATACATTATTGTTGATACCACTTATGTCAGATCTCTTCCAGAAGTCATGAAATTATTTGGAATCTTATCTCAGTGATTAACACTATCTACACTTAATTCCCTTCTGAAATCTTTAATACACAATTATTTTTCAACTTTGCAGGTGTGAGGGTCCTTTGGTTTACTGAATTTGTAGGTGTCTCACTAAGGTCTTTTCTTCTAGTGCATGGCCTGAGACTCTTAGTACAGTGAACATGAAATGCTCTGTAAAGTCATTTAACTATAATTACTTATATCAGCGACATGGTATCCACTGTATGTAATTCTGAATGCTGGGTCTTTGGGTTTTCTTTATTTACCGTGAAGTGTTTAAAAATCCAGACTATCTTAATTTTTTACACTGAGATAAATTGTGAGATTATGTAAAATCAATTAGAAGTTATGCATTTATTAATAAAAGTTATGCATTTATTAATAAAAAGAAGATTTTTGCATACCCCCCCACCTCTTGAAGAATCAAGAGCAATGCATTAGTATAGTATTAAAATGCATATGGCTGAAGGAAAAGATAAATTGAAGAGGAAAAGTGTGCTTACAAATAAGCAGTTTTCAACCAAGGAAAGAAGAACCTTTACACGTAGGCCAAAGCTCTTTTTTTTTTTAATTGAAAGAAATTTTTATGACACTTAAAATGGAATTTCTCAACCTTTGTTTCTTTTTTCTAACCACAACTATGAGAGGAAATGAACTCTGCAAATTTTGAAATTTTGTCTCGTATAAACCTAAATGTTTCTTACTTTTAAACATGAAAAACATTAAAACACCTTTTTTCTGAGGAGTTAAGCATCATGTTCAGGTTTTCTTCTAATCCTCCCAGAATCTACTTTGTGGTTATTAGAAAGTAATTGGCTGTTGGCATCAAAGTTCACCAATATTAAATTGACAGTTTCAAATACAGAGATATTAAGACATTGGCCCAGAGTCAGTCAAACACCAAGTTGGCTTATGGATTTGCTTTTCCAAATATGTGATTCAATATATTCTTATATATTCCAAATATAAGATTCAAATAAGCATGAAAACATTATAGGGAGACTAAATTCCTGTCTAATAGGTATTATATGTACTAAATATATGTATGTTCTAATATCTGTACTAAAAAGCAAGAAGAGAAATATAAAACAAACTTTGTTTCTTTGAAATCTTATTTTCATAGTGTTTGATACATTTGTGTCATTTAGTAGTTTGTGAGTTAAGTACTTACTCTTGGTATTTGAAAACTAATGTCACAAAGAGGTAAAAGATACTTTCTCCACTGTCTCAAGCCTGTAGCTGAAGCAATAAGAGAACCTATGGACTCAGCCTTGTTCTTTGTCCATGAATTTGTCTCAACTCCTCTGCCTGTGGCACTCTACCTAGGGGAGAGAGCATCCCACCCTAAAGGGGATAGCTGGGCAACTGAGAAGGGGCCATGACAAAGAATGACTTAGGCATCACTCCAAGTCAGGCATAGAAAAAGAACAGCTAATGGGTAATAAGAGTCAAGTGATATTGATTGGTGGCTCCCCAGGATTGAATTCAGAACATGTTCTGCTGTCTCCTGGGTGCCAAGATTTGACAGAAAGGGCAAAGGACAATTTGAACAATGTGGGGTGGGCGGGCGAAACCTCCATTCATTGTCGTTCACGTGGGAATGGAGTGCTCAGAATGAGGGATATCTTGACAAGGCATCCTGCCAGTAGCAGCCTCTTGTTACTTATCAGAAACCTAATGCTCAGAGGCTCTTTCTCTTCACTGCCCTGTTTGGGAAGAATGTGAGGAGGGCGCTCTGCTACTAGAGAGGAGAGATTTTGTGTGAAGTGGACCTTTGTCTTTAATGGGAAAAAAAATATAGGAGAATGAAAAGAAAAGATTCAAAAAGAAAGGATAAGACTTAAAAGTCAAAAACCATTTTAGAAAACAGGCTACAAGATAAAAGAATAAAGTGGCCCTGGGTTACTAGAAAACACCAAATTGGCTGGGGTGGGAAGTAGAGGGAGGTTGTTGTTGTGCAATGGAAAGGTAAAAAAGTTTAAAAAGCCAAATTGTAAGAAGAAACAAGACACATCCCCATGTATACATTAGTACGGAAGTGGTTAAATTAATTATGGTACAACCTCACAAGGGAATATCATATAGGCTTTTTTTTTTAATTAAGTATGCAAGTTCTAGCACAGATATTTAAGGATCAATTTAGTGAAAAAAAGTAATTTTTTTAAGATTCATTTATTTATACATACAAGAGCTGGGGTACAGGCCAGAGCTGCGGGAGGTGAGAGGATTCACCAGAGACAGAGTGGGAAACAGAACAGGCAGATGGACTGAATTACACTGCTGAGAGGAACAATGGGCAAGCCAGGTGAGATCTGCTGCGCCATGTGGGTTGCTCCCTGGCTGGGCCGGGGATCGAACTCGTGCCACAGAGGCTATGGATTGCTTCATAGTGCGGTGCTTAACCCCTTGCACCACCAGGGAGGCCCCGAAAATATGATTTTATTGAAAGTGCTACTGTATATTAATATATGTATATGGGGGAAAAAAATCTGGTAGATGAAGCATCAAGCAACCAATGATGGTTATTTTGGAGAAGGAGGGAAGCAGTTCTTGTGGAAGGGGTTATATTTTATGTTACACCTTTTTGTGTTATTCAAAACATTTTTTATAAAATTCATATAGTTTCCATGGTGTATTAGGAAAAAGTCAACAAATATGGAATTATTATGTTGCAAAACACTACGTATAAAGTTGAAGGATATTTTATTATTTGCAGTAAAACTTAGCATCAAAATAATTATACAGAGATGCATGTATATCTCCACCTGAATATCTACAAAATGACAAGTGTAATTTCATTTAAAGAATTTAAGTTGAAAGTGGCACATAACAGACTTTTGACAGGTGACAATTTTGTGTTTTGTGTTATGATGTATTTGCTCTAAATAATTTATAATAGCAACTTACTTTATCCGTTGATGTAATTTCTCAATGATTATTTTCTTCTGATTAATTTAAGTTATTCCTGTCAGCTCTTCTGCTATCTTTTTAAGTATCTTAGTCACGCTAACAGATAATTCTTCCCACAAGAGAATCACAAAAAGTGGAGAGAGAAGGGAAAGTAAAACAATTTTACAAATATATAGAAATACACTAAACAGCATCTTTTAAATGAGATTTTTGCAAAACACAGTATTTGGAAGCTGTCCACTGGATTACAATAGTCAGTCTGTACAGATGCATCTAATCATTAGATCCATCTACTAGATGGATGTACTACATTAGTTTACAAATAAAAATGACAATTTCACCTGGGAGCTAGGTTATTTTCCCACAAATTATTTAGGAAAACCTCCTATGAGAAATCAGATCAAGACTGTTATCTAGCGCATTGTTAATTTTTCAGACACATAGAGGAAGACGGAGAAGAGAAAGTGTAAACTATTTGTTGGGTTCAAAATGACATGAAAGCTGGATTCCAATATGCATGTGGCAGCCAGGTCATGTAGCGATCTATTTAATAGGATTTTATCAATAAGTCCACTCACATAGAGCTGGGGGCTGTCACAACGTAAACATAAAATAAACTTGTCTAAAATGGAGACTCTTACACTGGGGTTTTATATGTGATTTTGGAGAACTTTGAGAACCTGGACTCACCACAGGGCAACAAGTACAACGTCAAAGGTATTTCTCACTGCAGGATTGTGTAAAAAATAAATTATAAATTAGAGTCCAGGCGGAGACGACTAAAAGAGACAGGATGAGGACATGGGGGTGTGGGGTGGGGGGTCAAGGGTGTGGGGTGGGGATGTGGGGTGTGGGTGGGGTTGGGGACTGGGGGGTGGGGACTTGGGACAGTGGGAAGAGTTCGCTTCTGGCCACTGGACCAAACTGATATCTACAATAGGGTGGTGCACGTTTGGCTGGAGAAGAGATGCTGATTGTAAACAGTGCGAGCTGTCTTGTCCTGTAAGAACAGCTCTAACAGGACGGCCATTAGGGCAACTTCACTTTTGGACTAGCTGAACACAAGCTCTGTTCCTGGGTGACCGCCCCCAAAAAGATCCCAGGGCAATGCACTATTCCACCTCCCTCGGTCCTCTCTGTGTTCCAAAAGTGTTCTTCGCCTATGGCTGACACCTTCCGGGTGTGCCCTGCTCCCTTCCCGGCATGCCCTGCTCCCTTCCGGGCCGGCTCTGCTCCCTTCCCGTCATGCTCTGCTCCCTTCCGGGCCTGCTCTGCTCCCTTCCCGGCATGCTCTGTTCCATTTCCGGCCTGCCCTGCTCCCTTCCCGGCCTGCCCTGCCCCTTCCCAGCATGCTGCGCGTGTTTCTAGCATCTCTCACGCTTTCCTACTACACTCTGGAGTCAGTGAGGCGCCCCAAGGTCTACAGTTCCCCCCCCCACACCTTGTTCTCACTCAAACAGGAGTCACCTGGCCTGGGCTCAGGGAGAACATTCGTGTGCGGAAGCAAGACTTCTTCAAGGTCAGATTTCCATCCTGCCCCTTAATATTTGGGAAATCTCCCTAACCTCCTCCCGCTGATTCTCCTGTGACCCTCAAAAATCCCGACAAAGCAATGGCCCCAAGGCCTGGAAACAAGTCGTATTTCCCAAAGTCAATCAACTTCAGGTTAGACAAGCTAAGGGAGAACACCTGGTCAGGGCCAGACATTGCCTCTTCACGTTGCTCAGATCTTAAATTTGTATCCTGTCAGTGTCTTTTGTTATTCATTGGCTGCTTGTCTACCAGTCATTGAAAATTGAAATTAAATCATTCTGTGGTAGAGTTGGAAGTTTGTACTGTGTCTGGAGGAACACGGAATGCAAAGGGAGTGTGAGGAAACTAGCCACCCATTTTTCCCCCCAGTTACAGTGTTGAAGCGAACACAAATTTTATTCTTGTATGTTAATAGTACGAATGTCTGACATCAAGAAATTGTCCTAGAATTTGTAGAGTAGTTTTACGACCTGGAAATAATTTTATAGCTTGGTAGGTTAAGTGGAAAGCGCTCTCATTTTATTTCAATCTGATGTTGGAGTACAGGATAGAGAAAAAATATGTTACTAAGACAGGTTTGTTATGTGCCAGGAGATCTAACATAAGGGATCAGGATTAATTGGAGGTTTTCCATCACCCTGGGTCTGATCAGTGTTTTTGGTATTGTGATTTTATTTTTCTATCTAATATTTGTCTGAAAATTATATTCCTGGAACGTTAGCTTAAATTATTTTTCCATTTGGAAATGAAGACTGAAAATAGGTTTTTCCAGAGCATGGGAATTTATTTTGGAACCGTACCCAGATATTTTCTGAAAGAACATGGTATTAAAGATTTGGGCAATAATGAAAGGAACAGAAGTGATGAAAAATACTTTTTTCCTGTATTTTATAGCTTTCAGTATATATTAAAGTGGTCTAGTTGGAAAACAGCTTGATACAAGAAATTTTTTTTTAAAGATTTATTAATGCATACAAGAGCGGGGGTACAGGCCAGATGCAAGGGGTGAGAGGATTCACCAGAGACAGAGTGGGGAGCAGAACAGGCAGATGGACTGAAGTACACTGCTGAAGGGAGCAGCGGGTGAGTCAGGAGAGGTCTGCTGCGCTGTGTGGGTTGCTCTCTGGCCAGCCAGGGATCGAACTCGTGCCACAGAGGCTGCAAATTGCTTCATAGTGTGGTGCTTAACCCTTTGTGCCACCAAGGAGGCCCCAGATACAAGAAATTTAGAAAAATCTTAAAAATACTACTTTAAAGAAAAATTATCCTTAAATACCTTTTGAATATTAAATGTGATTTAATTAAATTACAAATAAAATAAATATCCAGTTAAACATAGATTGATCATGAAAGTGTGTGGTCCTGATCTTCAGGGATTTGGTTGAAGAATCAGTGCTCAATACTATGAAATATCCAAATTTATGATAATAGATATAATATTACCTGTATTACCTATATTTAACTAATGTATGTTATATTCATTTTTTATTTCTGAAGAATGTCACTTAGGAAAAAATTACAGTGCCCTTAGTGAATTGCTCAAAAGTAATTGATAGATAAACACTTCAATTTTAAGCCTTCTCTTCCAGTAACCTGTTGGATTAAATAAAAGACATTTGTTAAATTTGAGGTCTCATTCATGTTTTTTCTATTTAAATCTTTTAGATTCCTTGGATGTGCCATCCTCTAAAAAGCTCAAATTCTGAATGCTATATCAGTATTAAGATGGTTAGAATCTAACTGTGATTTATTTCTTTGCTGGATTTTTTTTTTAAATTCTGCATGCTGTGCACAAATACTATGCTTTGTTATCTTAAAGCTGTTAAATAACAGAAAAGGGGATTTCACCTATTTTTATGCATGAAAGCTGCTTTGTTTATTATGTATAGAAAAAATGTATGCAACTTTAAAAAAAACCAAAACACTGTGTTATAGAATTTAAAATCATAAGCCTGACAGTAACTTATTTTTTGTCCTCTGGGAGAAATATCAGAATCTAGGTTCCAACCTGAGGACAGAATAAAGTTATTGTGTGACAGATGATTTTCTTTTTAACATAGTAGATCTGTGTAAAAGTACTATCCTTGGTCTTTATGCCTTAAGACTAATTTCGGGATACAGGAGGGGCCTTTGGGTACTTATGAATATGGGCTATCTTGGTTACAGTCCAAAGTGAGCTGTCTGGTTTCCAAATACTACTTACAGAGTATAGTGTTAAGGGTTAACTTTGTATTGACATTATCATAATCTTATCACACATTAGCATGTTAATTTTTCTGAAAGAGTTGTGGAGAGGCCTTTTTCTGTTAGAGAAAGTGTACATTATAGGAAAGACAGTTTTAGGGAGAGAAATAACAACCTTGCTTAAGCAGTAACAATAACAAAATGGTAACCTTTAGAACTCCCAGGACTGTGAGCAGGGCTCGAGTTCAAGCTGTACCAGATACTCAGTTTTCACTGTAAAGTGGAGGTGAGAATAATGTATATATATAGTATATATAATATATTGTATATATATAGTATATATAATATATATAAATAGTATATATAATAGTATATATATGTGAGGATTGAATAAATTACTGCCTGTAATGTGTCTTAAATGTAGCAAGTGGTGAATAAACACTGGCTATTGTTACAGTTCTAGGATTTGAACTGCTCTCCTGTGCAGGGACAGAATGAATGATGCACTAAAAATAAAGGCTGGGTGGTTATGTTTGACGGTCTAGTCTAAATCCATGTGACCTTACCCTTATTTGCCTGGTCACG